TAAACTATAATATAACTATTATAAACATAAAAGAAGGATTAATGTTTACATATTAAATAGAAACTTAAAAATAACCTTAAATTTATGTATACACAGAATATTAATAAATTCGCACCAGCAATTCATGTAGCGCTATTTCCCATTAATTAAAGTTAAAATTAATTAAAAATCGAGTCAAGAAAAATCCTGAACTATTTTATTTTCTATGATTCTTAATGAAAAAATATTATTGAATAAAATTCAATCAACTACACGATATTTGTCTATGAACAACACGATAATTTATCTTACAGACAAATATCAATTTAAAATTCCCCGACTTTCAATAAAATTCCCTGAAAATTCTCTAATTTTTGCAGGCATAAACAAATTCCCTGAGAATTTCAAGTTTTTCAGGTTTTTCCAGGCAAGAGACATCTTAATCACATACGTACCAAAGAATTTTCAGATAAATATATGTGACAAATTAATCTTTCACACATGAACCAACCCTCGAGTTTCAATAATGTAATTTTTTGCAGGGTATATAAAAATAGTCGGAAGTACCTCCGGAAATCCCCGGAATACAAAAATATAAGTTTTATAAAAAAATGCTTCAGATAGAAGTCACAAGGTTCAAAAAGATTTATTTATTGATCTTATTGGTTTAATCTTGGGTGGCGTCGCCAAGGTCAGAGCAAGATCAGCATGAATTTTTTAATTAAAACTTCCTATTTTTTGTTACATATTCTTATAGCTCTTCATGAGACTTTTTTGAAACGCTATAATTTTACCCATTTTGAGTAAACCGTTCCGAAGTCATCGAGGTTTTTATGATAAGATATTCAGTAAGATATGATTCAGCCAACAAAAGCGAGATCGGCGGGTATCCAACCAACGAAGGCAAGATCGGAGGATAATTTCCAACTGAGACCACGCATCATTTATCACCCCTGTCTCCATACATAGGTATAATACGAGTAGTATTTCTATTTATTTCATCTTGAGTAAAAGTGCAATCACTGACATTTTACCATAAAAATCTCGATAACTTTGAAACGGCTGACCCAAAGTGGGTAAAATATATAATATTATATATACTATGAACGGAAAAGAATCCTTTAGTCGCGGTAAACACCGATGTCTTTAACTTTATCTCTATAGGAAACTTCCCGGTCATTTTACATTAAGAGAAATTATAGTTAATAGTTAATATTTAATTTTCGGCCTCAACTATATCCTTTTTACTTTATTAACCAAAGAAATAATAATAGCAATATATATGATAGATTATTATCACTGTTACTATAGTAGCAATATATATGTTAGGTTATTATCACTATTATTATAATAACATTTATTAGAAAAATAGTTCTCCCGACTATAATTCTTTAATTGTGATGATTATATTGAGTTGATGCAAAAGTTCATTTCACTTTTAATTAAAGTGTATATATAATATTTATTTAACAATTCCATCGATTGATCAAATATTCGCCGTTTTGTCCAATAATCTACCATCTCTCTGATAGTTGCATTCTAAATAACATTAAGATGTAAGACATGTTTTAAACAATAAGAAACCTAAGGACGTCTTTAAGACGTCTTTAAGACGTCTTTTAGACATACGAGGTCTGTTCAAAAAGTATCGCGAATTTTGTGTTTTTTAAAAAATTATTTATTTATTCATGAATATCTATTTTGTCTCCTT